TTTTGCCATATCCTCAGTGCACGCTCTTGGGCAACCATCGCTACTTCGGACCATCCCTCTTGGATGGTAGCGCGGAGCCTAGTTTTCTAGGTTCAACCAGGGACCTTAGTTGTGACGCTCGGCACGTCGAACACCTGCCGAGATACAAGGGGAGATGAATAGCTCCGAAGTGACCCGCTCCAAAGATGGGGTACCACAGTGGAATGGAGATGCCTCCACTTACCAAGAATACGAAGAACAAGCCCTCCAGTGGGAACAGAGCATCCCCTACCACAAACGATACCTAGCTGGACCAAAGTTGGTGGCCGAGCTCTCGGGACCAGCTCGGAAGCATGTCACAGGAAAACGGCCGCAGTGGTTGTCATTCAATGGAGGTGTCCAACACTTGCTGGAACACCTTCGTGAATGCCTGGGGAGGCCCACGATTTCAGAGTTGACAGAGTTTTTTGAATCGCTACTTCCGCCAGAGCCGCCGGAAGAAGTTCGAGACCATGAACACCTACATCACCCGAAAGACTGAGGTGTACCATCGTGCTCGGCAAGCCTTAGCTCGAGTACAGAAGTTCTATGGTCAGAGGCACCAACCAAGGCACCACACTTGGGAGCGTAGGGACTCCATGACCTGGAGTCACAACACCTGGGAGGATTGGCAATGGCACAATCCTGAACCACACTCACAGGACCATGCTGAGAGTGACCACCCCGGTGATGAAGAACAGTGGTATGAACCCATGAGCGAAGCACCCGCCTCAAACTCCTGGCACCACTCACGTCGAGAGAGCGATGATGAACCATGGAAGCTCCATACAGAGGAACTGCTGCCTGAGTTTCTTCAGGGGTGGTATCTCCTGATGGACTCCGGGTTAGAGAGCACAGAAAGGAACATGATCCAAACGGCCCTCCAGGATGACTTCTCTCTACAGCGAGTTTCTCGTGAACTCCGACTTCAGTGGCCGGATGAAGAACTCCGGCGGCATGACCAGAACTCCCGACATGCCGGTTTTTGGGCTGATGATGGGGGGTGACTATGAGCCGGACTTCATCGATTACCAGGAGGAAGCATGGGAGGTGGATGACCTCAATGGTGAAGGACAGGCACTATACAGTGCCGCCGAAGAGCGCGCTCAGGAGGCATACGCCTTGATCCAACAAGGCAAGCGCACTTTGAAAGAAGCTCGGGCACGACAACACCAAGTCAAGTTGAGCCGACAGTACTACAAGACCACAAACACCAGCCGACGGTCCTATGGAGACCGGCCCATGTTCTCCTACCACAAGCCTCCAAGTTCATCAACCTCGGAGACATGTTTGCGATGCGGGAAGGGACACCGCACCAATGAATGCCCAGAGCGCCAAGGATCCGATGGAAAGCCCCAGAGCCATGTGGCTACTGAAGCAGCACCATTCATTTGCTTCAGCGATGAGGCAGCCCTCACCGCAGAAGCTGGGACGGCCAAAACTACACAGGCAGCTGTGAATGAGGGGTGCGCCGTAATTGACGGTGGAGCCACAAAGACGCTGGGGAGCGTCGAGGCTATCCAGGCCGTCATGGACATCAATGCCAAGAAGTACGGCAACCATCGCATCCAAGGAGTAGACACCAACAATACACCCACTTTTGGGTTTGGCAACAGCTCTCAAGACCGCTGCATCTCTACGACTCAGCTGCAGGTTACTGCGAATGAGCAACCAGGCTTGCTGCAGATCCATGCTCTGGATCGTGGAAGTGGTCCAATCCTGTTGTCCATCCAGACGCTCCGATCGTTGAAGGCCATCATAGACTTTGAGGCCGACCTTTTGGTACTGAGGGGACTTGACGATACGAAGATCATCCCCCTCGAGCGCTCGGCAGCAGGACACCAGCTCCTGCCTTTGACCGAGGATCTTTTTAAACATGCGAAGACCTGCAATCGACAGGTCCCAAGCCTCAGGGACTTCCTGCATTAGGGACAGCTCCTCTCTGATCTTCAGCCTGAGAGAGAAAGAGAGGTCAAGGGTGAACATCAGGTTCCAATGAGGCTTTGTGAATCATCTTTCCGCGATATCCTGAGTGATCCGTCGATTCGAACGTGCATTTCTTCTTTCTTTGATGATGTTAGGTTCAGTTTTGGTTGTGTGAATAGTCACATTTGTCACGTTTTTTCATTTGAACACCGGACACGCATGCAGCAGCAGCCCAAGTATCGTGAGCTCGACGTGTTGTCCTGGCGGTCCCCAGCGTCTCGATCATCATGGTGAGCCAAATGAAGAAGTCCGAGTTGATCGAAGAGCTCAGGAAGCAGGGCGAGACTCCTCCGGAAAAAATGGGGAGTCGTCGAACTGCGGTCACGGGTCCTCCAGATCTACGAGGAACGCGGCATTCCCACCAAGAAGAATCAGCGCACCGACATGCGCGAGATGGTGGTGCAGCTCAACAAGGCCAGCAGCCGGAAGAACACGTTGCAGCAGCATTGCCGCGACTTGGGAATTCCAGTGACTGGAAACGAGACCAAACCACAACTTCAGAAAGCCGCC